TGGAAACATTTGCTGAGTGGCTTGTGAGATTTAATGAGTGAAACCAGCAGAAGGAAATTGGCAATGGCTGCATGTAGTCAGATACCAGAACAGCTACCGTTCCCGACTTGCTTATTTTAAGGAAAATCACGGATGTGCAGGAAAACTATCAAGACAGCAAACCTTTTGGAAAAGAGTTTTATTGTACTGCTTCAAAACAGTAGTGCCTGGCCTGTGTGGCCCTTGAGCTGAGGAGGACGTTGGGCTCCATTCCTCCTAGATAAGAAGGCTGTCCAGGCCATTGGTCACGGCATTTGGAGACCTCTGGTAGTCATTCCCTTTCTCTCCTCTGCAGTGAATGGTGCTCCAGAGAAAATGATTATCATGAGACTCACAGGGGAACTCTCACAAGAAAGACCCTCCCTGACACTCACCAACCACGAAGCTTCTAACCGGCAGGTGCCCTCTGTAGCTGTAGTGCAAGGTTGACAGTCGATGCATGAATAATTAGATGACTCTGGGAAACTTGGAATTGGGGGTCAGATGGCTCGACAGTATGTCTTTACTCTGTTTTTATCCTAACTATAACCTCTAGCAGAGAAACAGCACAGGTGGGGACATCTGTTCCCTTATATTCTCAGAAAAAGGAACAAAACTGCTCTTTTTAGAAAATCAAATTGTCCAGAAACCGTAAGAGCCAAGTACTTTTTTCTTGTGTTTTTTTTTCAGGCCTGTTTGGCTTATCTATGGAAACAGTTCGTGCTATGCAAAAATTGGGCTCAGCGGTCATTCAATATTATGTTGCTAAGTACTAGTCCTTTTTAGGCTAAATATGTTTACTTGGCATAAAGGCTGAACTTTCACTCGACTAGTTATATCCTGGCACTAACATAGACTGAACCCATTTCTTCTCACATGTGGAGGAAAGGTGACGGTCACCCACAGGATCAGGTTGAGAAGCTCGGACCAGGAGCTGGTCCAGGGCTTCCCAAGCTTCACCTTGCGCCCAGATCACCACGGGAGACCAGCAAAGTGACAGGTCCTGTTCAGCAGATCTGGGATGGTGATTGGCTGCAACTGAACATTTCTATCAAGCTCCCTGGTGACCTTGATGCTTGTGATCCACAGGCCGTATTTTGAGTAGCACAGAATTAACTGGGATTTGAATCTTACTTTCTGAATTGCTTCTTATCAAAGGACTAGACTGTGGCACTGAGTGAGAGGCAGGACGTTCATGGTATGAAAGGAGGAAAGAGCAGGGTGTAGGAATGAAAGAGCCAGGTTGGAGTTTCGGTTTTATCATTTAATAGTCACATGACCTTAGGCAATGTTAGGGAAAAGGATATACAGCTCTCAGTTTTTTTCTTTGTAAAATGAGACAAATGATCCCTACCTCACAAAGCAATTTTAATGGGAAAATTAAACTATAAACCTGAGCATGGAGACTTGATTCTAATAGGGACCCAGGACCTACTGGTTCCTGACGGATCAGCAAAACCCACGCACTCCCCTTCTTCCAGGGTCCATACCCGGCTACATTCACCTGCTTTCTTTGCATTAGACAGAGCTGTGTAGCTGCCCCCAAAATGAGAGTGGTAGAGGTGTGTATCATATCCAGGCATGGCCCATAAAATCCTTCCACACACATCCATCCCTTTATGCAATTTGTCCCCTCTTAGGTGGACATCATCCCCGGGGGGAACATGGAAGCTACATGTTAAAGATGCCATCAGCCCAGATGGACCCCTGAATAACTGAAAACTCATGGCCGCTCCACCTGCGACTTCACCTGCCCAGTACTGTGAGACGAGCAGAAAATAAACTTGTACCATATTCGAGCCATTTTATAGTTGTGGCACTCTTTGTTATAGCAGCTAGCTTACCTGCGTAACACTTCTTCCACCCTTTCCTTTCCTCCTTTCTCTTCCCTACCTCCCTACTGTGTTCTCCCCAGGTGAAATAGTCCTATAGGCACCCTAAATTACAGTGTTTGGGTTAAAAGCATGAATTTTGAAATGGGAACAGTGAAGTCCAAATTCACCTCCATCCTTTTTCTGTCCAGCACTGGAAAAGGATGCCTGGATAAATTTCTCAACCTCAATTTCCTCAAGTGGAAGAAATAATGTCATTGCTCACCTCTTGCAAAGGTCACATAAGATAATGCCTGTAAAGCAGTTAGTACCTTACCTGACTTCTAGCGCCCTCTTATGAGTAAGGTCCCATTTGATAAGATGCCACCTGCTTCCTCCCCTCCAGATAACGCTCTTTCATGAGCAATATCACAAATCATGTGCTAGGCTCCCAAAGAGACAAAATGAGATGAGAAGAAACAATTCCTGGAACCAGAAGCTCACAGGTTAGGCAAGTGAACTGCTACCAGTGAACAAGCTGTGAAGGCCCTTCATTAGGCTGAAAAGCAAAGTGACCTTTCCCAATATCGGCCAAGGCCGTGTTTTTATTTTAAGGGTATGTTCACTGTAGAATGTGTCACACCTACTCACCCTCAGGAGTGGAACATTCTCAAAAGCCATCGGACTAATGGCTCCAAGGGCAGAGCTCCTGTAGCTTATTTGCTTTGCACAAAAGAACCTCACACGTTTATGACCTGCCACGATGAAATGTACTCAGAAAGTACTAAGACAGCGCTATCTGGGCTTACCTTTAAGGCAGGTACTGGGGCATAGCAGGCAGGTTGGCAGTCTGTGTTGGAGACGCTGCCACCCTTTGTACGCACTTTATGCCAAAGCCATGATAGCACGTAAGGTTCCATTTGGTATTTCTCTCTGACTGAGAATCAACATCCTCATTAGCAGAGCAATTTCTTTACGTCTGTTGAAGTACCTATAATGTTTTAGGTGTAAGGCCCTGATCTGATTTAGTTACCTCAAATTATTTTTAAATGATATGGCAGAACTTCATTACAAGGAATGTTATTCCTTATAAAAAACCTTCTGTTATTAAGAAGGTTTTTATACATCAGGTCAAAACATGTCCCTCTAAAATCCAGTAAGGACACGTCTAGGTACCTGGACATTAAATGTGACTTCTGACTCCAGGCACCAGTGCTGTAAAAAAATTATACTCTTTTTGCATTTAGACAACTCTTCCTGAAAGAAACTCGGTGTTTCTTATTAGCTGTCTCACTGGTCTACAAATGTTTTATGCAGAATGTGTTTTTTCCTCATACCTTGGAAATGATTGACAAAGGTAAGTAATCTGGATAAGCTGGCAGCATCTTCATCATAGACGCACATAATTATATGTATACAAAATAGCACTGGCAGAATTAATGTCTCCTAAATGACATCAAGCAAAGGAAAAGTTAAAACTTAAGAGAGCAGGCTGACAGCTGGGAGGTGGTTGTTGAGGGGCTGAGCAGAGGTGAAGGGAGTGAGCAAAAAAAAGAGAGAGAAAAAACTCATGGACAAGAGTGTGGTGATTGCTGCGGGGAGGGGTGTGAAGGGAGCAGGGAGTGTACAGGGAGGGTAAATGGCCACAGTGTGAGACGTGGGTGGTGAACACACAATACACAGGCAGGGGTATCCGCACCACACTGAAAAAAACAGTTGTCTTGGGCCACACATGAAATACATTGCAACACATAATCACCAAAAAATCTCATAATGTTTTAAGTAAATTTATGATTTTGTGTTGGGCTGCACTCACAGCCGCCCCGGGCCCCATGTGGCCCACGGGCCACAGGTTGGACACCCCCGTGTCACAGTGTACAGAAGATGTGTTTTGGAATTGTGCAACTGAAACCTGTATACTTGTACTAACCAGAACCACCCCCATAAATTCAATAAAGAGGGGGAAAAAAGCATAGACTTTGTTACCAGGCAGCCCTGGATTCAAGTTCTTTATGAGCAGAGAGAGTCTTAGGGAACTCTCTAGTTACTTTCAACCTCAGCTCTCTTCCCTGTTCAATGTGGATAACAAAATACCCACCTGAGAAGGTTGTGAGACAGTGAATGTGACTCGCAGGGTGTCTGGGGCTGAGTAAGGGAGGCAGACACCTTGGCTTCCTCACCCAGCTGTTCAGCTGAGCCTAAGAAAGTGCAGTGCTGGCTCTGCTTCTCAAATGAGACATAAAAGGGACAAGTAAGAAACTCAAGAATAGACGGGAGCCAGTCCTTAAACTGGATGAATCTAAAGCCGAGTAATTGCATTCTATCCATTAAGGCTCTCAGGGACCTGAAACTGGATGACGGAACCTCTTCTCTTTTTCTTGGTTGTTGGCTAATAGTGTTTTCTCCTACTGTAATTGATAACCAATTTCTACAATGAATCATCAAAATATGCTGAAATCTGTCTAGAAGAAAGGCTGTCTGTGAACAGAGCCAAAAAGGACTGTATGTGAAATAAAAATTTAGGTGGCCTTCACTGACCTATCAGTTTTAATCTGGTGCCAATCACCAATTCATTTTAAAAGTATTTCATCTCTTGGAAAACTCGCTGAGATGGGGTGAATAGGCACCGATTACATTCTAGGTCCTCGGTCTTAATACTAGAATGGAAAAAGTTCAGTTTCTTAAGATTTGTCTAATTGTCCTGTTCCTATTCAGGAATGATAATTAGACTATATAACCTGATTATCTGTCAGTAAAGTACACATAATTTAAAGTCACCCAGGAAAGAAAAGACATTTACCTCCTTCCTCTTCCTTTATTATTAATATTTTTTCAAATGACTTAGTTTAATTGCAGGTGGTACACGATTTGGCACAGAACAAAGACTAAAGAACACACTTTGGCAGGATTGTGGGCTGGGTTTACTCTGACCTCACAGTTAAGGTGGAAATGGCAGAGTGAGAACTGAAGATGAGCCACTGCATCACCATCATCATCATCGTCATCACTACCACTATTACTACTATGGAAGTTTACTCTTAAATGTATAACAGGCTCTGAGACAGCATTTCATTCTAGCTATGGGTGGGAACAGATGTTATGATAGGGAATCCAGATGTTAAAACAGAAATAGAATTAAGGATCACCATTGTCCCAGGCACACGAAACCACTCACTTTTTGCCAGATTTCTTAATTCTACCTGTAGCCAGGGGACTCTTCTCTGCTGCCTTTACTTTTAGCTCCTCGTGTTTCTTCTCTTTGTGCTTCTGCTCAACTGCCTTACCTTGTTCATCCTTGACTTGCTTCCTGGGCTGCACCAGGCACTTCTTTTTGCCACAGTCACGGCGGGACACAGCACCTATAGCCCCTTCTGCAGACCTTGCTATGGCAAGCTGGGACATTTACCTTCTTCATTTCTTTATCATGATCAACAGGCAAAATGGGGTTCATCATATTCGTGACATTTAAATATATAGAGCGAGATTTTGACTAAAAGAATTTATGTAATTCAAGGTGGATAAAAGACTTAAATACAAGCTGTGACACCATTAAAGTCCTAGAGAACATTGGCAAGAAAATCTCAGATATTCCACGCAGCGACATTTTTACTGATATGTCCCCTAGAGCAAGGAATATAAAGGAAAGAATAAACAAATGGGATCTCATCAAAATAAAAAGCTTCTGCATGGCTAAAGAAAACAGTATTAAATTAACAAGACAACCAACTGTATGGGAAAACATATTTGCCAATGATACCTCAGACAAAGGTTTAATCTCCAAAATATACAAAGAACTTACACGACTCCACTCTAAGAAGACAACCAACCCAATTAAAAAATGGGAAAAGGACTTGAACAAACACTTCTCCAAGGAGGACATACAGAACATTCAGAGACACATGAAGAGATGCTCAATATCGTTAGCTATCAGAGAGATGCAAATTAAAACCACAATGAGATACCACTTTACACCGGTCAGGATGGCTATCATAAACAAAGCAACAAACAACAAATGTTGGAGAGGGTGTGGGGAAAAGGGGTCCTTAGTTCACTGTTGGTGGGATTGCAGACTGGTGCAACCATTATGGAAAACAGTATGGAATTTTCTCAGAAGAATAAAAATCAACCTGCCTTTTGACCCAGCAATTCCACTGCTAGGATTATATCCCAAGAATCCTAAAACATCAATATCAAAGAACCTATGCACCACAATGTTCATAGCAGCACAATTTACAATAGCCAAGAGTTGGAAGCAACCTAGGTGCCTGTCAGTAAATGAATGGATCAAAAATGTGGTACATATACACAATGGAATTCTATGCAGCAGAGAGAAAGAAGGAGCTCCTACCCTTTGCAACAACATGGATGGAACTGGAAAGCATTATGCTGAATGAAATAGGCCAGGTATTGAAAGACAAATACCGTGTGATCTCACCTTTAACAGGAAGCTAAACAACAAAACAAACAAGCAAGCAGAATAAAAACAAAGACACTGAAATAGAGAACAAGGGGACAGTGACCAGAGGGGAGAGGGAAGGGAATTTAAGGGGGAAAAAGGGGAGGGATTTGGAAGAACAAGTATGAAGGACACAGGGATGAGGACTAGTGGGGGAGGAAATGGGAGGGAGGTGGGGAGCACAGGGTGGGGGGTGGATGGGATGGGAGAAATAGACAAAAAACTGTTCTTGAAAAATAACTAAATAAATTTTTTAAAAAATTTAAAAAAGAAAGCAATTTTGTAAAGAAGAAAAAAAGAATTTATGTAATTCTCTCAAAATGAAAGTCATAAATGGTACACACACACACACACAATGGGATACTACTCAGTAATAAAAAGAAATGAATTACCTATACAAGCAACAACACAGATAAAACTTAAATGCATTGTGCTCATATCAGATCACAGAAATGATTGCATTTCTGTGCCACTCTGGAAAAAGCAAAGCTATTAATGATGGAAAACAGAGCAGTGGTTGCCAGGGGTTAAGGATGGAGAAAGGGCCTGACCACAAACAGGAAGCAGAAATACATTTATTTTTGAGTAATGGACCTGATCTGTATCTTAATGTCAGTGGTTACGTGACTTGATGCATCTGTCAAACTCTTATAACTTAAACCAAAAACATGAATTTTACTGTCTGGAAGTTTAAACATGTATGTTAAGACAGGAAACATGCAATTCACTATTTAGTGAGGCCTAATCTTAACACTATTTTAAATTGTGAACAGGTGGTTTCTCTTGAACAGAAACAGACTTTATTAATAAAAACTCCAGGAGAACTGATTTTTCACAGCCCTACTGAGGTATAATCAACACATAAAAATTATATATATTTATGGTGTGCGATACAATGTTTTGATCTGTGTATTCATTGTGAATTATTACAACAGAGCTAATTAGCATAGCCATCACCTCACATAGTCACCTCTTCGTGTGTGTGGTGAGAACACTAAGGATCTATTCTCAGTGAATTTCAAGTATTTAGCATGGCATCAGTAACTATAGCCAGCAAGCTGATCATCAGATCTCCAAATCTTACTCATTCTACGTAACTGAAATTCCATGTGCTTGAACTTCTTCCCATTTCGCCCATCCCCTGGCAAGCACCACTCTCCTCTCTGTTTTTGTGACTCTGACTTTTTTAAAATTCCACATATAACTAAAATCATGTAGTATGTGTCTTTCTGTGCCTGGCTTATTTCACTGAGCATAATATCATGTAAGTTCATCCATGCTGTCGAAAATGGCAGGATTTCCTTCATTTTTTTTAAGGCCGCATAATATTTTATTCTCTGTGTGTGTATGTGTATGTGTATATATATATGTAATATAATCTATGTTATGTGTGCATGTATACATATACATATACATATATACACACACACACACACATATATATATATATCACATTTTCTTTATCTACTCATCCATCAACAGATTTCACTTTCTTTGGTTACATACCCAGAAATGGGACTGCTGAATCGTATGGCAGTTCTATTTTAATTTATTGAGGAACAAGACAACCCGTATGTAGAAACTACAGTATACACTGTGGATTGTCTCTGTATTTCTACTCCACTCTTCCTCTGTTGGGGAGGCCAGAAAGCTAAAATGTTAAATTTCCAAGGCTTCTTTGCAGATGGGTTTCAATTAGAATGGAAACAGTTTAGAACTCAAATATCTGAAAGGCAGTGGCCATCCTCCTGCTGTTTCTGCTCGTGACAAGCAAGGTTTGAAAAACAAAGATTTTAAAGGGGGTTTCCACCAGCAATGGCAACAGTGGCGTGCCCTTGAACTTAAAAGTCCAGTCAGTGGTGGCCACACCATTCCTCATTCGCCAGCCTTTTAGACCATTTTATAAGCACCCAGTCCCCTGTATTAAATCTTTTCTGGCTGAAACACCTAGAGTGGTTTCTTTTTCTTGCCTTGATATAAAAGCCAGTTTATTGATTCAATGGCCTCATGTCATGGGGCTAAAGCCAGGATTATATGGAAGTTCCATAAAAGTTCCATTTAAATTCAGCTACCTTCTGTTTTCCAGATTTTTCAGGACCACTCAGTCCTTGCTCACTGTGTTGGAGCGATGAGCTATGTTAGCTTAACAAATTATCTCTTGTAGGTAACAGCTCCATGCTGATACTTCGTAGTATTAAGCCTAGCAGAAGAAGGACTTCATTTCCCAAGTATCTGAAAGTCTCAGAATTGAGCTTGTTATCTTGGTTGGTCAGACCCAGGTATTCTGGCCATTCTACCTCCAGCTATAGGAGGTCACAGCCCAGGTAACTCCCATCACTAACAAAGGAAGACAGGACATAAAACCTTTTACCCACTGACAACTCTCAGCATTCTCTTCAGAGGTTTTCTGTTCATTACGTGTAGATTTTAAGTGTATTTTTTCTTCTGTTAACCATTAACCACATTAGTGAAGCCTCAAATCAGTGCTGTAGACTTGTTAAAAAAAAAAACACAAAAAACCTTCCCATGAGGCTTGGCAAACATAGCCTGAAGTACTATTAGGAATAAGTCTAATTTTTGAATGCCTAGAGACCGAGCTACCTGCATTGCTACACCTCTGGGGAAGATGCTTGAGTAAGTTTAATATGGGCACCCACCTTGCTCAAATGCAAGCACACATTCTGGACCAGGTATGTGATGACAAGATTCAAAAGAAACATGTCATTAAGGATCGGGGGTCATGTATGCATGGTTGAAAATGCCTACAGCAAAGGTGCACAGTTCATTCATATTAAGGGAATGAATGATGTATATGTATTTTAGGCTCTGTAGGGCTAAAAAAGGTGGAGCTGAGCTAATGAGAGGGTTTCTTTATCTCTAAAGTAGGGGTTGCTCATGGCCGTGGATTTTGGTTGTCTTTGTCCCTTAACACCATTTCCCCTTCTATTGACAGACGTACCCTAGAGTTCATCTTGAAATGCTAGACCCTCCTGATTTCAGTTCCCGAGGTTCCAGGAATACGGTCAGAAGTGAAGCTGTGACCAGGGCTATGATCTCCCATTGCTAAAGATGGAATGCTCTTGGTTCAGGGACAGACAGGAAACCGGATCTGACCAATCAGGATTAACAAACTCAATTCTGAGACTTTACTTGAGAGCCCTGAGAAATAGTCTTTCTTCTGCCAATTTGATACCATGGGATATCAGCCTAGAACTACCAATGACTAACACATGAAGCCAGAGAACTACCTAAACATAGTCAGAGAGGCAGAAAGAAACCAAGTACATAAGACTTAGAGAGACCCTGTAACCAGCTATACCTGAAGCACTTTTCAACTATGTGAACCAAAAAGCTATCCTTTCTTCCTTAAAACTCCTGAAGTGAACATACTAATTTTATTTGTTGAAGTTATTTATTTTTGTCATCAGAAGAGCCTTTACTGAAACATCAACCTTTAGCCCAAATATATATATATTTTGAGCATATGTTCATGTTTCCAGAAGCAGATATTCTTTAGCTTTTACCAGATTACTAAATGAGTTGTATTCCCCCAAAAGTTAAGAATTACTTTTCCAGAGAGAAATAATAACTCGAAAATTGATTTAAAATCGTTCTTTTGGCACATCCTTATTTTTACAAAAACATAATAATAATAATAATAACCCTGAAAATTTTCTCCTCCTAAATAGAAAAAGTAGATATGATCATAGAAGAGATGGAAGAAAGTAACTATCCACAGGAGGTAAGGATTTTAAGACCTTCGTTGCTCCAGGAATTCTTAATTGTTGGAGACACTGCCCCAACCACACGAAACATACTGAGTGGCACCCAAACCAATCACAGTTTACATGCAAGTCCATGAGGAGGATTTACGTTTACAAGTTGTTATGTCATAGTTGATTAAAGTGGATACATGTCTTATTTGGGAAATATTTAATGAAACAGG